GGGGGAACCTCGTCAACGTAAGTGCCTGTGGACCTGTAGGAGGCCATCTCTGCGTCCATGGCAGCTCTCCACTGAGAGGCCCAAGGCCCTGACATTGCCTCAGCGTAAGTGCGAGGAGTAGGTATGTCAGGAGCGTCGGGGTCTCCCTCAGGAGCGAGGAGCATGGCACAGAGATGAGGCGAAGCAGCTGCCAGGAACTCTAGCTCAAACTGTCTGTCCTCTAGGACGTCACAGCCAAGGGCAGACTCACCCCCGGCGGACAGAGGACGGACAGGAGGACGGACAGGAGGAGCGGCCACAACACGAGTGGCGCAGCCAAGGCGACGCGTAGCAGTAAAGGCAGTGACAGCGACAGTGAGGACCGTGACGGAGGATGGAGAGGCACGTGGGTCCGTAACAAGAGAGGTGAGAACACGAGAGAGAGTGGGGCGGCCCCAAATGCACACACCAGATTGCACTCGCCCCCAACTTACTGCGGTAGGTCTTGGGGACGTGGGCGACTGCCATGCAACCGAACACCCTCAGCATGTCCACCGGCGGCTTCCTCCCAAGCCACCTCTCCAACGGCACCCACGAGTCATCCCCAACCTTGGTGAGCACCCTGTTCCTAGCGACGGTAGTGTGCCGGACAGCATGAGGCCACATCGAATTGCTCAGCCCAGATTCTATGAGCAGAGCCCTAGCTGTCTCCAGAATGGTCCGGTTTGCCCGTTCTGCTACACCGTTGGACTGTGGGGTGTAAGCCGTGGTCAGCTCTCTCTGGATGCCCTGCTTCTTGAGCCAGGCCGTCATTTCAGCTCCAAGGAACTCACCACCCCGGTCTGTCCTAATCCGCTTCACTACACACTCCGCCTGCTTCTCCACGAACGGCAGCCAATCGTCCCGTATCGTGAAGGCGGCGTGGTCCTTCTGCTTCAGCGGATACGCCCACATCAGCCTGCTCCAGTCATCCACAATTGTAAGAAAATACCGCTCCCCCTTGTGCCCTTGCACCGGCAGCGGCCCCACCAAGTCCATGTGGACCAGCTCCAAAGGCTTCTTGCTCCTGCCAGCCACACTATGGAAAGGGAAACGGGTGAACTTTGAGAGCAAACAGATTTCACAGTTTTCATCGGGTGGCTGTCCGTTCAGCTTCAGACCCTTAACGGCTCCATCCTTCTCCAGCTGCTTCAGCAAAGGCATTGCCACATGCCCTAAGCGCCGGTGTGCCGTTGCCCAATCTGTCTCCCCAGATCTGGCCGACACTTTCACACCAACCCCTCCAACGGCATTGCACTCCCCCTGGGATGCAGACCCCTCTCCAGCCTGCCCCCCACCATGCCACGCCAGGGCCGGCAGCTGCCACATAGATCTGTACACGTCCTTGCTCTCGTGCAGATCCCAAAGCACCCGATTGCCCAGCTTCCCCTTATAAGTGCGTGCCCCATCCGTGTTGGTGTTCACCCCAGCCTTGCCAAGCTTACGGAGGGAGATAAGGTTGGCCTTCAGGTCGGGGACGAAGAGAACGTCGTGCAGCACCACCGGCTTGCCATCCGCTCCCTTAAACGCAGCTCGTCCTGCACCAGCCACCTTCAACATGTGTCCAGAGGTGGAGCACACTTCATTGATCGGTGCAGCTCGTACTTCGTCCAGCAGGTCCTTGCGCGGCGTCATCGTCCAAGCAGCGCCTGTGTCCAACACCCAATAGTCTAGGGGGTGCAGCTCTGCTCCAACTTTGGCAGAGGCGTCTCCTTGCTTCCCCTTGTCTCCCACATGGAAGAATTGGCCCGCGGTGCGCTCCTTCTTCTTCTCCGCACCGCCGTTGCCCTTCGGGTTGTTGTCGGACGAATCAGCGACCATGTTGGCGCCGTTTTTCTGGTTCCTCCGCGCGCCGCCATCCTGGTGACGATTCTGGGGGGTCCATCCATCGGGTTTCTTATAGCACAAAAACCAGGGGTGCCCTTCCTTCTCACAATACCAGCAACTCCCTTTCATTTTGCCACCAGCACCCGACTTGCCCCCACGTCCAGATTTCGCACCGCGACCCCAACCGGTACCTCCTTGTTGGTCGTTGGAGTCGTCGTCCTTCTTTGCACCGCGCCCAGCACCACCGAAGCCACGTCCTCTGCCACGTCGGTTCCCTTGCATCCCGTAGCCGCTGCTGCCGTCGTCCCCACCCCTCAGTTGGCGGCGACGGAAGTCCTCCTCCAGAATCTTCGTCCGCACCCACTCGAGCGTCCACGAGCTCTGGTTCTGCGGCAGGCTCAATCCGCTCGTGAATTGAAGCCACGATTCCGGCAGCAGCGAGAGCATCTTCAGGCACTTGGTCTGCTCCGGGTAGGTGATTCCCGCGGTCGCCAACTTTGCGTAGAGGTCGCGCATCTTGTCCAGAACTGGTTGCACCGGCTCTCCCTCGCTCAATCGCAACGCGGACAGCTCCCTCTCCATCATAAGCGTCGCGGCAACGGAAGTAGGAGCGTGCAGCTCCTTCAGCACGGTCCACGCCTTCGGACCGCAATCAACCTTCGGCAGCAGGTGCATGACGTGGTGACGCTGGTTCAGCTCCAAACTCTGCGACATCAAGTAGTAGCCAGCCGATGCGCGCTCGTCCCAATCTTCCTGCAGTGCGGGGTCACTCGGTCTAGGCTCTTCCCCAATCATTAGTTTCAGCAATCCAATCTGACGGAAGTAAAGCTGCATTTTCCAGGCCCAATCATCATAGCCCTCACCATTGAACTTCTCGACGGTGAAATTCTTCAGCACCTCCTTGATGAGCGAGCTCTGGTTGGTTCGCGCTCCCCTTGGCGCCGAAACACCAGAATCTTGGCTGCCACTACGATCTTGGGCTGAAGATTCACCAGCTCCCGCCGAGGTGTTGCCCGCCATAGCTACCTATAACGAGGATCACTATAACGCAGCTCTGATACCAGCTTGTTGGTGTAAGGGCCTAATAAACCCAAGCTATTAGGACTTAATCAAACTTAAAACCTCTCCTCGGGGTCACCTCCAAGGGTCCCTGGGTGCCTGGTACAAGACCAGCCTCTATCCTCGGGTCCGAGTTTGTAGAGAGAGGGATCAAGGAGGACTTAGTCAAAACAGCAAGAGTACCTTGAACGTCGCGCAGCGTGCCGTGCAGACCGTCGATCGGATTAAGCTGAGAATTCGCTATATCGAAGCTCGCTCCAAGAGCTTTAAAATGAGCCAAGTTGCCTCGCGAAAAGTTCTGCCATTACTAAGTTATGGCTCGGAGAGCGTTTGCCTAGCGTTGGAGTGCTAGCATACTAGCGTTGACTCGGGTAGCATTCCGCCGTCGAATAGCGCAGAAACGAAATTCCAGCGAGGAAGGAATTCGCTTGAATCAATTGACTATATCCAGGTACAAACAGAGAAGGAATAAATAGCTATAGCTAGCAAGGGCCTTGGGAATCAACCTGGGAACAACCAGGGATGATCCCAAATAATTCCAAGCAACAGAACCAACCTGGCTGGACAAACAGCAGGTGGTAGGTTGGAAAACAACCTCTGGTTCTGTTTTTCCAACCTGGGAAAACAACAACCAGGTTCAGGTTAAAAAAACAGAACCTATTTTGTCTTTGCCCAACCAGCCAAATGCTGGTTCTGCTGGTTTCCCCTGGCCTTGTAGCATGCAGATACAGACAAACAACATCCAACCTTCACATAAATTGTACCCCTATAGTGCCTGCCCTGCTACACTATAGTCAACCAAACAAAACAGTACAATTTCAAGTTGGATAGAACTGAATCTGCGCAATAAATTGAACCGGGCTGCAAAGCTTCCATCTTGGGTTCCTTTGCGAGCTCTTCCTTTCTGCTTGCACTGTTCATAGCGGGTACAATGTTGTGCCGAAGCGCACATTGCGCAAGTACCTGCAAATGCTTCAAGCGAAAATTGCGAAAGCAAACAAACACACAAACACACCATTCGCACGCAAATGCATTCGCACACGCATACTCGTACAAACAGACGGCAGGATGTCGTGCAAAGTGAATTTGCACCCAACACAGTGGTCAGTGTAAACTGTAGTCTTGGCTCCCTCTAGGTAACACCTCCACGCCTTAAAGGCTGTGACTATCGCTAAGGCTTCCTTGTCTTGGATGGGGTAATTCAGTTCTGCTCCGTGTAGCTTCTTACTGAGATAGGCGATGGGTTGCAAACCACGTCCGTGATCCTGCATTAGTACTGCTCCGACTGCTTGGTCACTAGCGTCTACTTCCACCACGTAGTCTCTATCTGGATCCGGTAGGATGAGTACTGGCGCTGTAGTCAGTGCAGTCTGTAGCTGCTCCATGGCTTGCTGTTGAGGAGTATCCCTTTTATAAGGCGTATCCTTTTTCAGTAGGTTGGTCAGTGGCGCTGCTATCTTAGCGTACCTGTTGTAATAGTTGGCGAAGCCTAGGAAGTGCTGCAACTCCTTCACGTTCTCCGGAACTTTCCACTTCTTGACGGCTTCGATCTTCCGCGGGTCCACGTGTACGCCCTCCGCACTCACCATGTGCCCGAGAAACTGCACCTTCTTCAGGGCGAAGTCGCTCTTCGACAGCTTCACGTAGAACTTGTTTTTCCGCAGGATCTCGAAGACTTTCCGCAGATGCTCCACGTGCTCCTTCATATTCTCTTAGAGTAAATGTGAGGATCGAGGATCGAGTTCAGAATCGAGAATGAGAATTGATTGATCACCTGGGTACAACACGAGGCTATATATAGGGCTCGACACAAGGGAGGTAACCAGGTGTTACGAGAAGGTTCTGCGGGTCGCGAAGCGTCCCGAACAGACCCTTCCCGAATTCGGTAGAAAGCAGTTCGGTGGCAACCGAATAGCTCCGAATTCGGTGTAACCTAGCACGGTGCATATAACTATATAAAATATAGGAAAGCACCTAGCCTAGGAATCAAACAATTCATGCATGCAGAAATTAAACCTAAGCTAGCAGTAGCGTAAGGTAATAAAAGCAAGCATGAATAACAAGCATAAGCCGTCGTACTCTCACACGTCCCCCCCTCAAAGCTGGGTGGCGTGAGATACACCCTGCTTGACAAGATAGTCCTTGAGAGCACGGCATGCGTTGCCCATATCAGCTTCTGCAACCCAACTGTCCTCAGTGGGGTCATATCCCTTCCAGCGGATCAGGAACTCGAGGGTCTTGCCGCCGCGGCGCCGATGAGTGAGAACGCGCTCGATCTCATACTCTGGTTCATCCTGCACAAGAACAGGTGGTGGTGGCGGTAGCTGCCGTCCCTGGAACTGTTGGTTGGGGTCCTTGTAGGGCTTCAATAGCTGAACATGGAAAGCGTTGTGAAGCTTCCACGTATCTGGTAAGCGCAAGCGGAATGTAACTGGTGTCACCTGTGCCTCCACGAGAAATGGACCACAGAAGCGAGGCCGGAGTTTGGATGGTAGGTGAGACAGGTTCAAGTTGCGCGTGTCAAGAAGCACCTGATCTCCGACTGCTACTGAGTGATCTCGTCGCGGGAGTTCTGCATCGTGGTGAGACGCCGCTGAGTCTTCTCCCATAGCTGCTGCATGGTGGTGACGAAGTCGTGTGCGGCCTGGACGTGTGCCGGTGTGGTTGGCTGCTGTGGGGTGAGTGGTTCCCGTCCGTAACACAGGAAGAAAGGAGTTTTCCCTGTGGCCGCATGCGAGGCGTTGTTGTAAGCGAACTCTAGGGTCGGTAACTGTGTGTCCCAGTGGCTGACGTCATCTTTGCAAGCTGTGCGCAGTAACTGTTCAACCACCTGATTGAGTCGCTCTGTCTGTCCGTCAGTCTGGGGATGGTATGCTGAAGACATCGCAAGCTTAGTCCCCAACAGTCCCATAAGCTCCTTCCAGAACTTACTCGTGAATTTTGGGTCTCTGTCTGAGATGAGTGTAGCGGGGATGCCGTGGATGGTGATGATGCGGTCGAAGAAGAGTCGAGCAGTTGCTTCAGCTGTGGCTGTGGCGTTGGTCGGTATGAAGTGACCCATTTTTGAGAACTTGTTGATGACTACGAGGATGGAATCGTGTCCCCGTGAGGTCGAAGGAAGCCCTATGATGAAGTCAAGACTAACGACCTGCCATGGTTGCTCCGGTACGGGTAGAGGCTGAAGTAACCCTGCTTTCTTCTGCTTACTACTCTTCATCCGCTGGCACGTGTCGCAAGAGGTGACGAACTGCTGCACGTCTACCCGCTAACGTCTTGTTGCTCCCGAAATGTCCCGCGTATGGTACGTCATGAAACTCCTCTAACAGGATCTGCCGTAGCGGGGCGTAGTTCGGTACCCAAATCTTCCCTGAACCCTTCCTTACCGCTAAGTCTTTCTCCCACTGTAACAGCTTCTGTTTCTCTGCTGTAGCGATCTCGCCGTCCACGGAGTACCCATGCTGGAATAGACCCTTGAGCAGAGGGTTCATCCCGTCGAGTTGGATGCCTGCTACATGACCTGGGCGGCTCAACGCGTCTGCTTTGTTGTGGAGCCCGGGTTTGTAGACGATGTCGTAGTGGAAGTGAGTTTCCAAGAAATCCACCCACCGCACCTGTTGTCGTGAGAGCGTCGGCTGCGACTTCAGGTATTTGAGACTGCAGTGGTCAGTATAGACTGTGGTCTTGGCTCCCTCTAGATAACACCTCCACGCCTTGAAGGCTATGACTATGGCTAAGGCTTCCTTGTCATGGATTGGGTAATTCAGTTCTGCTCCGTGCAGTTTCTTACTGAGGTAGGCGATAGGCTGTAAACCGTTCCCGTGATCCTGCATCAGTACTGCTCCGACTGCCTGGTCACTAGCGTCTGCTTCAACTACGTAGTCCTTGTCAGGGTCCGGTAGGATGAGTACTGGCGCTGTGGTCAGTGCTGTCTGTAGCTGTTCCATGGCTTGCTGATGAGGAGCACCCCATTTGAAGGGCGTGTCCTTTTTCAGTAGGTCGGTCAGTGGCGCTGCTATCTTAGCGTACTGCGGCATGAACCTGTTGTAGTAGTTGGCGAAGCCGAGGAACTGCTGCAACTCTTTCACGTTCTCCGGAACCTTCCACTTTTTAACAGCTTCGATCTTCCGCGGGTCTACGTGTACGCCCTTGGCACTCACCATGTGCCCGAGAAACTGCACCTTCTCCAGTGCGAAGTCGCTCTTCGACAGCTTCACGTAGAACTTATTTTTCCGCAGGATCTCGAACACCTTCCGCAGATGCTCCACGTGCTCCTTCATGTTCTTGGAGTAGATGAGAATGTCGTCCAGGTACACTACTACGCACTCGTCCAACAGGGGCCGTAGGATGTGGTTCATCTCCGCCTGGAACGTCGCTGGTGCGTTGCAGAGTCCGAACGGCATCACCAGGTATTCGTAGGAGCCGTATCGCGTACGGAACGCCGTCTTGTGGATCGAATTGTCCGCCATCTTGATCTGCCAGTAACCCGACCGTAAGTCCAGCTTCGAGAAGACTGTTGCACTACGCAGTTGGTCCAGTAAGTCGTCGATGCGCAGTATGGGGTATTTGTTTTTGACTGTCTGTTTGTTTAGTGCGCGGTAGTCGATGCACATTCGTAAACTGCCGTCTGGTTTCGGTGTGAAGAGAACTGGTGCGCCGTAGGGAGAGGTGGATGGTCGGATCAGTTGTCTGTCCAGTAGATACTCGATCTGTTTTTTCATGTCTGTCAGCTCGGTCGGACTCAGTCTGTATGGTGCGCGTGAGACGGGTTTCGCACCTGGTTCCTCCACGATCTCGTGCTCGTGGGTGCGTGCAGGAGGTACGCTTGTAGGTAGGTCGTCGGGCATGATGTCTTTGTACTGCTCCAAGACCTCTTTCACTGCTGCGGGTAGCTCGGAACCCGGTTTCACCTCTTCTGCTGCTGCCATGACCAGTGCTAAGTAACCCGTGTTGCTCTCGTTCACCGTCTGTTCGAACCGTGCCAGTGTCGTTTCAGGAATGTCCCCTGTATCCGTCCAGCTTCGCAATGCTATCCGCTCCCCGTTGTTGTAGATGCACACTTTGCTGTTGACCCAGTCGATCTCGGGGTTGAACCGCTTCAGGAAATCTCGCCCCAAGATGAAATCTAACCCTTTGATGTTGGTAACAGGTAGCTTCGGCTTCCATCTCAACGCACCTATGTGCAGCTGCAAGGTTGCTTCGCCGTGGATGGGAAGCTTCGTACCGTCCACCATGGTTGCTGAAAACTGGGTCTTCTTCGCCTTCTCTCCAATTTTCTCCAATGCTCCGCGGTCACATACTGAGTGAGATGCACCGCTGTCCACCATTGCCTGGAGGCGTCGCCCATTGCATAACACCTCAAGGAGTAGTGGTTTCTGCTGCGCTGAGTAGCCAAAGAGGGTCTCATTAATAGGATCATAGGGTACATCAAAATGAATACCTTCCCTATTTCCTATACCTGACTCAGCACTTTCTGACTTCACCTGAGGGGTAGGAGGATTTTTCCGAGGCTTGTATAATTTCTCCTGAGCCTGGATGTCTCCTCTAAGCCTTTGCAGCTGTGTAGGCTTCACCTGTGGGCAACGGGGAGCCTTAACACCATGCTGCGGGGAGAGAATATTAACACCACGGAACGCACGACCCTTTTCTACGCTCCGTAATACTTTGCCCATATTTGTAGGTACCTGAATAATTTCTAAAGGCTTTTTCTTGGCCTCTAACTCTCCCCTGAATTTTTCAAAGGCTTGAAAACCACGAGAAGCAATATTTTTCGTTAGAGTATCTTTATAGGATACTTTTAACGAATTCTTACTTTCGTGGGGGTCCGGCTGGAGTTTCCCGGTCGGTGCAGAGTCTTTTTTCGCGGAGCCACCAGTTGCCTCGGCGATTTCCCCTGATGCCGGCCGGTCGTGACGTTTTATATTCGCGCCATCATTTTCTCCTTTTTTCGCCCGCTCCGTAGTCGCCACGTCGTCGCCCTTTTTCGCTTTTCGGATCTTTACGCGATCGCCAGTTAAATCCGCGGCTACTGGCGATTCCCGTTTTTTTACTTCGGGGGTGCTGCACTGTTACCGCCCTGCATGATCGCACGTACTTTCTTCATTTTGTAGCACGACAAAATCTGATGCCCTGCTGCGCCGCAAAATTCGCATTTGGTCGGCTGCTGCTTCGCGTCGATTTTGTCGATATCCATCGGTTCGGCGAACGTGGGGGGTGCCGATCGCTCCGTGCCGAATGTACGGTTCGGCCCGAAACGTCGTGTTTCGGGTTGACTTCGTGTTAGCGCGTCGTAACGCTCGGCTGCACGCACGATGTCCCTGTAGCTGTCGTAATTCATCGCGATCACCTGCCGCCGAATCTCCAATTTTAACCCTTCCGTGTACGCCTGGATTTTTTCGCCTTCGGTCAGGTCGGGGATGCGGGTGAACAGGAGCTCCATCTGCTGCGTGTACTGTGCTACACTACTGTACTGCTTGTGCCGATGAATTTGTTGCCGCGCCATGTAGGTGGTATTAATTGGTTCGAAACGCCCGATTAATTCTGCCCGAAACTGCGCCCACGTTTTCTCCCCGCGGGCCACGTCAGTATTGTAGATCCACTCGAGTGCTGGTCCGCGTAACAGTGTCGCTGCGAGCCGGATTCGTGTCGCGTCGTGTGTCGGGGTCGAACAGCCAATGGCCTCGAAGTAAATTTCGAGGATTGCCACGAAACGCCGGACGTCGGATCCCTTCGCGCTTGGATCGAACGCTTCCGGGAGCCTCGGTCGTGCTGCTTCAAGGTTCGGCGTCGGTGGTGCCATCGGTCCGTGAAAAGTCGGTGTCGCCACTGCTGCTGGAGTTGTCGGTGCTGCAGTCGTTGCAGTCGCTGCTGCTGTCGTGGCGAGCGCCGGATGGCTTGTCAGAAACGTCTCGAGTCGACGAAGCGTCGCCTGCGTCTGCTCCATGTCGGTGCGGAGGCTCGCGACGTCGCTCGTTGTCGCGTAGTTGTCGCCCTGGCCTTCCATGCCTGACATTACGCGTCCGAAAAACCGAATCGAGGAGGAGCGGAAAAACACGGAACCGGTTTTACGTACCCGAAATCGATGTTTAACTGCGTCGCCCCCGCGGTTTTTTGAAGACTTTTTTTTTAGCGGTCGAAAGAACTTCGCGTGTAAACGAGCTCTGATTACCAAGTGTGAGGATCGAGGATCGAGTTCAGAATCGAGAATGAGAATTGATTGATCACCTGGGTACAACACGAGGCTATATATAGGGCTCGACACAAGGGAGGTAACCAGGTGTTACGAGAAGGTTCTGCGGGTCGCGAAGCGTCCCGAACAGACCCTTCCCGAATTCGGTAGAAAGCAGTTCGGTGGCAACCGAATAGCTCCGAATTCGGTGTAACCTAGCACGGTGCATATAACTATATAAAATATAGGAAAGCACCTAGCCTAGGAATCAAGCAATTCATGCATGCAGAAATTAAACCTAAGCTAGCAGTAGCGTAAGGTAATAAAAGCAAGCATGAATAACAAGCATAAGCCGTCGTACTCTCACATGCTGACTCCATATCAGTTTTTAACTGAGCAGGGTTAGAAGGATTTATCCGAGGCCGATTCAGCTTCTCTAGGGCCTGGAACCTTCCCCTAAGCCTTTGCAGCTGTGTAGGCTCCTGTGGGGAACGGCCGGGAGCCTTTGAACAGGGCTGCTGGGAGAGAATATTAACTCCTCGGAACGCTCGACCCTTATTAGCGCTCCGGAGTAGGGTCCCCATATTACCCGGTACCGGTTTAATTTCTGACTCTCCCTTAATAAAGGCTTGAAAACCGCAAGAAGTAATATTCGTAGTTAAAGTATCTTTATAGGATAACCTCAACGAATTCTTACTTGTCGAGGTGTACGGCTGGAGTTTCCCGGTCGGTGCAGGGTCTTGTTTCGCGGAGTCTCCTTTTGTCTCGGCGATTTCCCCTGGAGCCGGCTGGTCGTGACGTTTTAAATTCGCGCCACCATTTTCTCCTTTTTTCGCCCTCTCCGAAGTTGCCACGTTGTCCGTTTTCTGCTTCGGGGGTGCCACACTGTTCTTGTCCCTCAGCTCCGCACGGCTTCTCTTCATTTTCCAACACGCCAAGATACGATGTCCTGTAGCGCCGCAAAAATCGCACATCTCATTTTTTGCTAGCCGCTGCGTCGCATCGTCCTTGTCGTTCTCCATCGGGTCGGCAGTCGTGGGTGGTGCCAATCGCTCCATGCCACTATTTGGCTTGTTGCGTCGTGTTCCGTAGTAGCTACCGTTCATCGCGTTGAACTGTTTGATCAGTGCTGCCCGAAACTGCGCCCACGTCTCTTCGCCTTGGACAAATCTATTGCTAATCCACTCTAGAGCTGGGCCTCGTAACAGTGTTGCTGCGAGCCGTATGCGCAATGCGTCTTGGTTGAGGGTCGTGCATCCAACGGCTTCGAAGAAATTTTCTAGTACAGCTACAAATCGACGGACGTCGCTCCCTTTCGCTCTAGGATCGAACGCGTCTGGTCGCCTCGGCTTTACTGCTTCGAGATTAAATGTAGCTGCTGCCGTTGTCGCAGGTACAATTATCGGTGTCGCCGTCGTCGCTTCTGCTGCTGCTGAAGCTACCGATTGGTTCGCAAGGAGTTTTTCGAGTCGTGGGAGCGCCGCAAATATCTGCTTATGCTCAGCACGTAACTCCGCGATTTTTCGTATAAAGAAATCTCTATTTCCCTCCCTATTGGCGATTTACAGAAAGATGCGCGACGAAAATAATTGAATTACGTGTGCTGGTCGACTTACTGCGAGTCGAATCGACTGTAAAATCGACGAGCGCGAATTCTGTAGGTCGCGCAATTCTCCCCTAGGCGAGATTCGCATTCGATCTGGGCCGTTGAAGAAAAACTCGATCCGACGCTCCGAATTCCAACTTTTCTGGGCGAAAATTTCTGGGCCATTGAGATTCGAATCGATCGAACGGTTGAAATTCCAACCTTTTCACCAATATTCCTGAGGGGTGTTCAAAACCGAATCGAGGGGGCATAGAAAAATTCGCGCGGAACTGGTTTTACATACCAGTTCGTCGCGTTCGTCGCGTTCGTCGTCGCCCCCGCGGTTTTTAAAGGCCGGTTTTAGCGGAAGAAGAACTCGAGTGTAAACAAGCTCTGATTACCAAGTGTGAGGATCTGGTTCAGGAAAGATTGAACTATTGAATCATGCACCTGGGAACAAGGCGAGGCTATATAGGCTCGACACAAAGGCAGTAACCCGGGTGTTACTAGAAGGTTCCGCGGGTCGCGAAGCGTCCCGAACGGGTCCTTCCCGAATTCGGTAGAAGGCAATTCGGTGGCAACCGAAAAGCCTAGAATTCGGTGCACTCAACCTAGTTCGGTGCCTATAACTATAATAAATATAGTAAAGCAACGAACCTAGGAAATCTAGCAAAAGCAAGCAAAATAAAGCAAAGCTAAGCTAGATAATGCATAATAAAGCATAATCAAGCTAGTAAATCATAGCAAAGCCGTCGTACTCTCACAAATATCATTTTCAACTCTATGTGCACACTAGTTACAGCTGAAGACACAACATAAACATATGTTTCATATTACGGTAACCTAGTATACTACATATATTATACACCTGGTGAACGCAGTTAACTGCGTCGAAATATAAGTTCTTTAAACACATCAACAATTTCAGGCTTTCACCCCAATACGTACCAGCAAGCCATGATATTGCCTGCCTACTATTTCTATCTCAGAAACTAAGCACAGCGGAATGAGTTGCATTGATTGTGTTGGGGTACAAATACCTAACCCTAACTGTTTGTACCCCATATAGCATGACCCACTAAAGGCTATAACATTTGACACACCCCCATAGCCTAAGTGGGGAATGCCAAGCAACAAGAAACGCAACCTAAGGTCACAAGACCAATCGCAAGCAAGAGAGGAAACAAAGCTTAGGGTGGATCACAATGTCACCACACAGTCTGAGCACAAACAAGGGGCCACAAGGCCAGTTCAAGAGAGTACAAGCTAATTTATATATGGTAACACACACAAGAGGCGAGAAATCACTACCATAGTCTACTAGACCCAGTCTCAACGAGACCTAACTGCAGACAAAACCGGCGGTGGTCACAAGGCTGAAGAGCCTTGGTGAAGATGTCTGCAGTGTTGGCCTCGGAGGCCACGAAGTCCAGACGAGCCTGTCCGCGTCTCTGCAACTCTCGAAGGAGGAAGTACCTGACGTCGATGTGCTTCACTCTGCTCTCCAGTCGAGGCTCACGACACAGGAGAATCATCGCCTTGTTGTCAGCAAACAAGGTCGGTGCAGAGCTCGGCCGCTCACCAAGGTTAGTGAGCAAGAAGGTCAACCAGCGTAGCTCCTGTGCAGCAAGGGCTCCAGCGTAGATCTCGGCCTCTGCGGTAGAAGTCGCAACGCAGGAGGACCGAGTAGACCTCCACGAAACAGCTCCAGAGCCCAGGCTGAAACAGTAACCCTGTGTAGACCTCTGAGTCTCAACGTCGTCGGCGTAGGAGGAGTCGCAGTGACCGGTGAGTACAACTGGCTGTGTCCCTCCAAGTACAAGCCCCATGTCTGATGTCGCGCCGAGGTACTTCGCCACCCTCTTAGCCGCCGTCCAGTGAACAGGACGGTGTCTCCCAGTCGCAACAAAGCGAGAAAGGATGCTAAGAGGGAAAGCGAGGTCCGGGCGAGTACACGTCATCAGGTACATGAGGCAGCCCGCCAGCTCTGCGTAGGGACCACTGGGCTCGAACGGCTCGTCAGGAAAAGGCCCAGTGAGTCTGTGGTCTACAGCAAGAGGGGTGGGTGTAGGAGAAGAGTGCTGAAGCCCGAACCGCTGAAGGACCTGCTGCACCATGTGTGACTGAGTCAGAGTGATGGTGTGAGCGGCTCTGTCCCTGGAGATCTGCAGGCCAAGGTAGCGGCGCAGTTCCCCAAGGTCAGTGCAGGTGTGTCTCTTCTGCAGTTCGGACTTCACCTCCGCCAGTGCAACTGTGTCGGCTGTGGCAAAAACCAGGTCGTCAACGTAGACGAGAACGAAGAAAGGTGTGCGCCCACGACGAACAAACAGCGACGGGTCGGCGGAAGACGGCTCAAACCCGAGGTCGGAGAGAGTAGAGCGGAGAGTGTCGTGCCACTCACGGGGTGCCTGGCGGAGACCGTAGACCGGTCGTCTGAGGCTCCACTGGGTCCCAGGCGGGAAAGTGCCAGTGAAGCCCGGAGGACGACGCAGCCAGATCTCCTCGTGTAGGCGGCCCTGGAGGAAGGCAGTGGAGAAGTCGAGAGAGTGTAGCTCGTAGTCTCTCTGCGCTGCTACGTGCAGTAACACCCGAAGAGTGGTCATCTTCGGGGTGGTTGGAAGGTCTGAAAGAAGTCAACTCCCTCACGCTGACTGAACCCTCTAGCCACGTAGCGTGCCTTAAAGCCTGGGGGAGATCCCGGCGGCCGCTTCACCTTGAAGATCCACATGTCGTCAACGATGTTCGCCCCTGGGGGGGGAACCTCGTCAACGTAAGTGCCTGTGGACCTGTAGGAGGCCATCTCTGCGTCCATGGCAGCTCTCCACTGAGAGGCCCAAGGCCCTGACATTGCCTCAGCGTAAGTGCGAGGAGTAGGTATGTCAGGAGCGTCGGGGTCTCCCTCAGGAGCGAGGAGCATGGCACAGAGATGAGGCGAAGCAGCTGCCAGGAACTCTAGCTCAAACTGTCTGTCCTCTAGGACGTCACAGCCAAGGGCAGACTCACCCCCGGCGGACAGAGGACGGACAGGAGGACGGACAGGAGGAGCGGCCACAACACGAGTGGCGCAGCCAAGGCGACGCGTAGCAGTAAAGGCAGTGACAGCGACAGTGAGGACCGTGACGGAGGATGGAGAGGCACGTGGGTCCGTAACAAGAGAGGTGAGAACACGAGAGAGAGTGGGGCGGCCCCAAATGCACACACCAGATTGCACTCGCCCCCAACTTACTGCGGTAGGTCTTGGGGACGTGGGCGACTGCCA